TTGCATCTCCTATCGATGCAAGTTCAATCTAATAGGTGGTGGGATTGACATATTTTGAATAGGGTTGGACGAGATAATGGAAAGTGGGTACGTTGATATGAGACTGTCTTTATTCTAATATAAAGAAAGGGAAAAAAAATACAATGTATGGCTTTTCAATGTATGGTTTTTCTATATTCAACTTGTAATGTGAAACAGATATATAAGTATATAAGATTTAATTAATGTTGGTTTTATAGTTATTAACAACTACGATATTAGTGTGTTGATTATGAACCTCGATTCGTTATACTGTTGCTCTTCCAATCAAATGAATTTTGTTGTTTCATTTTGGTTTTGCCTTTTTGTGTACTTATCGTGGTTTAAATTTGAAGTATATACTAGCATATCTCAAAATCTGTACTGGCATGAATACTCTAATAATCAAACCTTATCTAGCACTCGTTGTTTGGCGTGGCTAAATGGCTAGTGTATATATATATATATATATATATATATATATATATATATATATATATATATATATAAGTTTTTATTTTTGTTTTATCATATTGATTTGAAACTCATCTAACATTTTTTCAACCTATTATATTTTATTTATTAACTTAAATTTGTTATTAACATATTAATGTTAGACTTTTTGAATTATAAATATAATACTAAATTAAATATGATGTTAAATGCAAAATCCAAATCAAAATATCAAATAAATTTAAAAATAGACTATTTTTTAAAATAGAAAAAGCTTTAAATGTTTTAAATGTAAAATTAACTTAAAAACATCTAAAAAGTTTTTTTATATAATAATTGAAATTTTACTAAACAAATGTTTTTTAAGTTAATTAACATGATTGACTTTTCGAATTATCTAATTTGTTAATGTATACATGATGTGAAATGCAAACCCTATATCGAAATATCAAATAAATTATCTTTTAAAACATTTAAAAAATATTTAAATGTATTAAATGTAAAACTGATTATAAATATCCAAAAAAATAATTTTTTATAATAAATATAAATCAAACTATCAAATATCTTTTCCAATTGCATATTTACTTTAAGAACATTAAAAAAAATTTATTTTATTTGAAATCTTAGTATACCTGTGGAGTTTTTGCAATAAATGACAGTTTTCAAAACCTTTATAAAACTAGGATAAACTAGGTTCTTTTGAAACCATTTGCATAAATAAGGGTGTTGCCCCATTCAAACATTCATAATTTACAAACTCAAAGAATTGGTCTCTTAAAACTTATAACGATGACCTTTTATCTTATAGAATATATTATATTATGATTATTATTATTATATTCTTTTGTATTTTGTATTTTTAGTATATTTTGGAGTTTTTGCAATAAAATGGTAGTTTTCCAAAACCTTTAAAATATTGGGTTAAATAAGGTTGTCGGCCCATTCTAACCTTCCTAGACATTTAAAGCAATGGTATCTTAAAACTTTAAAACTAACTTATATATATATATATATATATATATATATATATATATATATATATATATATATATATATATATATATATATATATATATATATATATATATATATATATATGTGGTTAGGTTCATGTGAGACGGCCTAATTTTGTGAGACCGTGAGATACATTTTTTTATTTTTTTAAAATTTTTTTTTAGTTAATTCAAGTTTCGAAAATAATATTTAAAAAAAGAATTTTTTTGATTTTTCCATTTATTTTGCATTTTAAAATTATTTTTAGAATATGTACAGTGTAATATTCTATTTAGAATATTTCACGTATTTTTCAAAAAAATAGGATTTTTTTTTAATTTTTTTTAGTTAATTCAAGTTCCGAAAATAATATTTAAAAAAATAATTTTTAGATTTTTCCATTTATTTTGCATTTTAAAATTATTTTTTAGAATATGTCAGTGTAATATTCTATTTAGAATATTTCATGTATTTTTCAAAAACAAACGAGATTTTTTTTAATTTTTTTTAGTTAATTCAAGTTCTGAAAATAATATTTAAAAAAAGAATTTTTGGATTTTTCCATTTATTTTGCATTTTAAAATTATTTTTAGATTTGGTCTCACGGTCACACAAAATTAGAATGGTTTCAAATGAACCTGAACATATATATATATATATATATATATATAATATATATATATATATATACATATATATATATATATTTGTGTTTTTATTTAATATATTTAAGAATTATATGTATAATCTTATTCAGCTCAAATATATTATTAGATTTTTCTATGTAACTTTTTATAGTTTTACCATTAATATAATCTCATTTATACCTTTAAATCAACACCAAAATTGAATATTATTATAATTACATAAATAAAGAAAATATATAAGTATTGTTAGAATTATATAAATAATAAATAAATATATAGCATTAACATATGATTTGTCAAACAAAATAAAGAAGATTTAAAAATTAAATATCATATCATATGGTAAGTGGAAAATGAAAAGACTTTCATATAAATTTCATATTTATATGCTTTTGAAGTTTTTAGATATAAAGGGGATATACCTATTTTCATTTGTGAATAATGTGAAAATTACAATGACATGCATACAAGAATATAATGTTGGGTTTTTATCACTTCATGATGTTGCTTATTGGGCGGATTTAGATTGGACAATTGAAACAAATTACTAAAAATAATGTTTGTCGATGTTAGAGGCGTGCAAACCAAAATCACAATGAGATGGAAATTCGTCATCTTGATGAATCTCGAAGATGTTGACTATGCCTCCAACCAGGTTATTTATGACCTGAAAAAATTGTTTAAACTCTCAACTAATATTTAATGTGACATAAACAATGTTTCTTATTAATTATCCTATGAATTCAATTTTAGTTGATCTTGTAATTTTATATTTAACTAAGGTGATATTATCCCTACTTTGCGGGGTGGGGGAAGGCATAATTTGTAACTTGTATATTATGAAAGACCATTTTTGTAAACTTTTAAATATATGGACAATTTCTGAAAAAAAATGCACAGTGACCCTTTTTGTAAATTATTAGGACCGTTTCACAATTTTATTTTCTATGTAGGGACGAAACCTCACTTTTGTAAATTTATTATTAGTGAAGGTCATTTATGTAACTTTTGAAAAACATATGCATCATTGCTATAAATATAATTCTGCATAGGGACCTATTCCGTAAATTTCAAGGACCATTCTTGTAACTTATGTTATATGTAGGGACCAAACATGGCAAACTTGAAAACATGCGGAAACACAAAAAAGGTAAAAGGTGGGAAATGGTGGTGCTAAAATTAAGGGAGTAAAATTAATATTCTACAAAATATGAAGGTGGAAAGCGGCATTCAACAAAGTAACAGGGTGGAAAGTGCAAACATATGAAATTGTAGGGACAAAATCTGCCTCCATAAAAAGTTTTGTGGCCAAAGTCTGAAATAATAAATTTTTGTGGCTAATGTTTAAGTTTGCGGACAAAGTTTAAAGTAACGAACTTTTGTTGCCGGAGTGTAAAACCTTAAAACTATAATTTGTGCCAAAGTTTAAAATAAGAAACTGTTGTCACCAAAGTTTTTGTCACAAAAATCTAAAATCATATACTATAATATTCATAAGTATTTTTTTTGGAAACGACAAATATTATTAATAAAAATAAAAACTCCTAACTATCAATGGGAAGAAGACAAACAACAAAAACAGAGTATAAAAGTTATCAAATACAAAAAGATGATGATAACTATTTTACTCATGAACAGATACCACATTTACCCCTACATTTAACTCACATATATAGAACTGATTTGATTTGCTCTACACCATACGAATGACTAATGAACACCTGATTGAATATCCGATCGTTGCGATATTTCCATAGATTCCAAATTAGATCATAGCAAATGGTATGGAATCGAGCTTTCATTGTAGGACTCCTACCCCAATTTGCAGCAAATATGAGTAGTTCGCTAATGCTATTGAATGACTGATTTTGTATGCCGCACCAATTGAAGATTTTATCCCTCACATCTTTTGCAAACGGACACCTTACCAAAATATGATCAATATCTTCTTCTCCGTTTATGCATGCACCACACATAGTAGTTTGAGTCTCAATACCTTTAGCTCTCACACCTGTCATTGAAGCAATCCTGTGTTGAATTGCTCGGCACAAGAAGCAGTTAACCTTGATTGGGACTTCCTTAGTCCATTTGATTATGAGAATATTTTGAGTTATTCCAAGATTGGCGATCAACTTTCCACCTTAGATCACATATTTTGAAAGCTCCATCTTTATCCAAGGACTCCCAAGTATCAACTCCATTAATCAGTTGTACTTAAGATAATACTTTTGTTTTAATTTATATAATAATTTGTAATTTTAATAATATGGTGTGAGTTATGTTGTTTATCTTTGTATTTATATAATTACAATAACATTAAAAAAAAATGATTTGAAGGTATAAATGTGATCCTCTTAATGGTAAAAATATTTAAAGTCGAACATAAAGATTCGGTATATAAAAGTCGAAAATAAAAATTAAAGATACAACAAAATTAAATAAATATATAAGTATAAGATATTATATAAGATAAGGGGTGAATGTTGTAAACGTATTTTTTTTTTAAACTCATTTTTACAAATACTTAAAAAACCTGACCCGTTTTTGCAAAAAACTTATAGTTGTGATCTTACCAACATACATTAATACATACATACGATCACTTTGAATTATTGAAAGAAATTAAAGGTTAGCCATGTTTACTACAATACACTTGATCCGTTATGTACTTATATAGTTATATGGCATGCTTCTCATTTTAATGAATATTGACTTTGATTTTGAACGACTTTCGAGTATTACTGTATTTGGCAAAAGGAGGCGATGATCACTTTAAATCTGTTTTCGCTACAATGGGATTGTTAGCATCTGTCACCATCTTTGATATGATCTTACTTTCCAAAATTAATTTTCTTTTACTAAGACGTATATCAATAAATCTAAATAAAAAGGAAAGAGATCTCTCCATCCTTAACAATCCAAAACTGAAAAACACTCTGGCATCTCGTGCTTGAACGACCGAAGTAAAACTTCATCCACCATAATCCTTTGATACTCGATAGTGGCTTCACCACAGCAGCAAACGAAGCGACTATGGATGACCTCCCAGGAGAAATTTTATCAGAAATATTCATCCGGTTATTGGCAAAACAGCTTGCTCAGTGTGTTAGGAGTTTTGGATGGAAAGCTTTGTGTGATGTCAAGGGCTAAAGGTGAGAGATGCGAGGTGTGGGTGATGGAAGAGTATAGGGTGGCTGAATCATGGGTCAAACATCATGTTTTTTCACAGTTTAGAGGTATAATTCCAATTGGATTCACATTACACAGTGAGTTTGTTTTTTATGGACATACTTGTGCTCTAGCTTTGTTCGATCCAATTTCAGCCAAGGTTAAACGCATAGATACTCCGACTACACATGTTGGCATGATTAAAATTCTCGAGTATGTGGACAGTCTTGTTTGGATAGCACCTGTTAAGCGTGAGATCAACTATTTCAACATCTCTGATCACTTTGCAAGATTGAAAAGAGGCTTCAACATGATAGTGAATGGTATAAGGGAAATAAAAACCAAGACATTGGTTCTAATTATACTATCTTTTCTTATATTTACTTTTCTAATGATATTTTTCGAAATCAGGTTTGTGTCAAATACTTAACTTTAGTGTATAACCTTATTTTCTATCAAAGGAGCATGTTTAATTTTCTTAGACTTTTGCTTGTAGAATAGGACAAGTATGGATTTTGGTAATTGGCCTATAGTAGGTTATGTTTGCTATGAATTGATTTGTAAACAGATTCTTTTACCGAAAAAAAAACGTTCCTAACTAATATTGATTGATTGTACTCAAAATAACACCAAAATGAACAAAAACCTTAATGCTTTGATAGTGATTCGTGTGTACCTAGCCTCTCCCAAGGTACAATGAGGGTCCCTTGGGACAAGGGTGATAAAGGATGAGTGGCAAACCCTCGCAAAAGTCCCAAAATGTTTGTAGTGTTTGAAAAAGCTCATCACATTCCTTTTGATAATCTCCCATTGAAATTTAAGACTCAACAAATGAAGAGTCGTCCAATTAGTGGCTAAAAAGATTTATGACATTTCTTCTAGACTAGAACTAGATTTAATTTCCAAGTTTTCTCTATCATTGTTTTATATTAATTTTTGGTTTTTGAGATATTGAAAGAATTGAGAACAGATAAATGTTTATGCATATCTTGAAAACATGAGGAGAATCCTTTAATATCATTCTACTGACATCCAAAATCCACATCAAGACCATGTAGATTAGATAATAACTAATTTAACGATTAGATTAGATAATAACTAATTTAACGATAATCCACAACATTATTTAATGGAAATAAAGATGCTAAGAGCTAAGTAGAACCATTTTGTGGCATCGTTTACTTTTTGGTGATCAAATAGATCGCCTAATATTAAAACAGAGCATACATAAATTCACATTCCTAGATACTTTGAATTATTATAACCCAATTAGGTCCAAAGGGTGAATGTGGGTTTAAAACGAGGAAGTTGATTTTTTTTCGCTATTAGAGTTTAAAGAATAACTGCATTTAATTTAAATGAATGAGACTTAATACTGTGAGTTTAATTTCCTGCTGCTCTGAACTTTGAACAACAACAGCTCTTTATTGAAATCCTTGAATAAAAGATAGCAATTTCAACCTTTTCTTTTTTTATATAAATTTTATGGTTAATATTTATGTAATTTATATTAATTGTATGTTTTGTTAATCATGCACTAATATTGAATATATCATGAGGTTGATTGGGGTATTCTATATCCCGGACTCAAATAATGGGCTATAGATTCATTGGGCTGATGCTGGTAGCTGATTTGGAAGAATATTTCAAGTGAAGGACTAAAGTTTTAGATTGCTAGTACATGTGGACTGCAGCTCACTAAATCGAAGATGCAGTATGAGGCGCGGACTCTTTTTGACCCGATATGTCATCTGGGTATCATACCCGAAGTATCTAGGTATAAAAATGACTAAAGCTGAGAGAGTTGCTCAGTAATCAATTTGCACATCGTTTCTTCTCTGAACTCTTTCTCCAACTCAATCCCCTGTTAGGGTTTCTTCGTTTTTTCATAGTTTTATACTCAAATTTTCTGATTTTACAAGTTTATGCTGTGTAATCTCGTTAGTCATCAGTTTTTTCATTCAAGTTGTGATAAATTATTTTGTTGTTATACCTTCCCTTAAAAGCAGTTAATCGTTTCAGAAGATTTCTTCTACACATTGTAAAACTGTTCTTAATTTGTTTATAACTTTGAAGTCTATCCTTTCCAAAGAGGCTTGGCCAAATATTATAAATTCATCGACCTTTATTGTTCTTTAGCGCTTGAAAATGGCTTCATCACAACAGCCAACGACTATTGAGGACCTCCAAGGAGATGTTTTATCAGAAATATTCATCCGATTATTGGCAAAGCAGCTTGCTCAAATGAGGTGTGTCTCTAAATCTTGGAATACTCACTTATCTCAATCATCCTTCATAAAATCGCACCTCCAGTCGTCAATCCGTAATAACGATGATATTCTCTTGTTTTTCAAATACAATTTTTCTTTCTGTGGTGGCCGACCTTTCGAAGCATGCCCCTCTCGATCTCCCCATCTTGAACTTACTGATTTCATTAAACTACCTGTTAATCTCCAATCTAGACAAACATATGGCAATGTCATTGGATCTGTTAACGGATTAATATGCTTTAGTTACGGAACTCTTCATGATTCCAAGTTTTACATATGGAACCCTTCTCTCTCTGCTGTGTTGACTCTCCCGCCAAGTTCATTTCCCTTCCATGATACTGATATGGTTGGAATTCCTCCTCGGTTTGGATTTGATCCCAAATCAGATGACTACAAAGTTGTTAAGATTACAAGAGATCACCAACCAGGCAGCACGTTGTTTCCATTATCCAAAAGAGTTGTAATTGATGTTGATTTTGAAACTGTTGAATACAAAGTTGAGGTGTATAGCATGAGAAAGGGTTTCTGGCAGTTAATCCCTGAAAGATTTCCATCACATATCCAAAACTCAATGTTTATGCACTATGCCGAATTTTGTGTAGATGGGCATGATGGTCATGTTCATTGGTTTAATTTTGTTGATTCACAGTGGAAGTCAAAAAAGATAGTTGCATTTGATTTGGCTGAAGAGACATTCCGTGAGATTCCTCTTCCAGATTTTCCAATAGATGATAGCATGGAACGCTCTTTAGGTGTTTTGGGAGGAAAACTTTGTGTGATGTTAGGTGTTATGGATGGTGGATGTGAGGTATGGGTGATGGACGATTATGGTGTGGCTGAATCATGGGTCAAACATTATGTGTTTCCCCAGTTTGATGGCGTTATTATTCCATATGGATTCACATTTCACAATGAGTTTCTTTTTGCAATTGCCAATTACTATGATGATGATGATGATGATCCTTGCTTAGGTTTGTATGATCCAATTGCAGCCAAGACTAGAAGTTTTGAGGTTGGTTATGGACTATCTAAAGTTGTTGAGTATGTTGACAGTCTTGTTTGGGTAACACCTGTGGAGCATGAGATGAGTTGTTGCAACATCTCCCGATTGAAAATTTGAAGATGTATCAGTGGTCAGATGGATGGTCAAAAGGTCAAAAAATGAGTTTCTTTTGTTGGTATGATGTGAAGGATGTTGTGTTTTTGTTTGCTTTTTGTTGCTATCTATACATAAAAGATTTACATATATACACCTATTAGTTTGTTTTTTTTTTTTTTATGGTTTGATTTCTATTTTAGTTTCCCAAAAGGTTTAATCAGTTTCTAGCCTATTGCAGTTCATGGAATCTATGCCTGATTGTTGCGTGTTCATGTCTGACAGGAGGAATGTATATACTGTTTTTAGGAGAGTATTGTTTGGTATCAGTCTTGGTTAATCACTATTTTAGATGATGAGAATTCTATCTTGTGAAAAAGCAAAAAACTTTCAGCCTTTGTGTTTCTAAGTATTGTTTGATATTTTAGGGTTTTGCATCTTATATTCTAGTGTTTGCATTCATGTTTAGGATTTCTATTGTATCAGACTGAAAAATGAGCAGCTGATCTTAGCTTTTGCTATCGGGTTTTGCATCTTTTTATTGGATATTTCTATGTGGTCTCCTTTGGAATATTGGTTGATATTTCAGGTTTTTGCTAGATCCATCCCTCTTTTAGATGAAAAAAATTCCCTAACTAAAGGTTGCTGCTAATTTTTTTTTTTTTTTTTCTTGTCTTTAGTAGTATGAGAAATATATATGTAACAACTAACAAGTAATAAGTCCCTTATTTATAACGAGTTACTTTGGGTTATGTTTGTCTTTAGCAGATAAAAGCCGGCTTCTACTGAGCGACACATGTGTCAAACAATGGGAATTGTTAGGAAAAATTCTAAAACACAACGAGACAAAGACAAAAAATCACCTAATCTCTCTCTCTCTCTCTCTCTCTCTCTATATATATATATATATATATATATATATATATATATATATATATATATATATATATATATATATATATATAAACGTACCAAACAACCGAGATTTTTAAAGGATCTTTGGCCTAGCGGTATAAAGAGTTGATGGTGCCTTTCACCAAAGATTGAGGGTTTATGTTGTGGGCGAAAGGTGGTTTATGTTGTGGGTGAAAGGTGTGGATTTAGTAGTAGAATAGTGGATGTGCTTATGTTCTAAAAAAATTGAACTAAACAATCTCAGTTTTTTTGTTTCCATAACGTAAATCAATTCTTTTTTGTTCCAAAGCAAGCAACTCATGCATTTTGGTCCTTACCAGTTCTACACCAAAAATAATCAGGAACTAGAACCGTATCCCTACTATCAGCCCGGTTATTGATCTAATGCTTTAGTCAAATTTTGTTTTCAGTTATTTTGGTTTCGACCCGTTAAAACTAGTTTCAGAACCGACTACAACCCATCTGAGACCCACTTTAGACCTTAGTAAACTCACAAATGGTGTTATTGAACGGGGGTTAACCTTTTTATGCTGAAAAATTAGAACACCAAGAAATACGAATTCAATGCTTTATCATCACAACTCTCTTGTCACCTGCTCATTCGGTATAGACCACCCTTGCACTCACATGCGCCAATCAAGTTCTTTGGTAGCAATCTGTGCATTACATAAAAATCAAGAAAAAAAGTTATAGCACATTAGAGGTCACTAGTTAAATGATTGACAGATAGCAAATTGCAATTAAAATTAGGAATGTGTAAGACTTTTTTTATATTAGTACGACCGATGAGTGTATAATTGCCTTTTCCCTCTACTGGTATATTATCTCCATTGGGAATAATGATAGGGGTCTAAGCTCAAAGGGATTTTTTGTTTTGTTTTTAAGCCAATTCGATCAGGTTGTTTGTTGTAACGTCCCAAAACTCAGAACCAAAAATTTCGTTTTTATATTAAATAAACCATCAACCAAATATGTTTGTCAAAACCATAAAGTATTAAGAGAATACCTATAAACATCCCAAATGTACATCAGAGTTAAAGAAGCGGAAAACCATGGTGTGTGCAATGCGATCAACTCGAACTCTTCCCCTTCGAATTAGAGTTACCTGAAACATAAACTGAAAACCATAATCACAAAGCTTAGTGAGTTCCGCAAAATACCG